TCCTCTTCCTCCTCCTCCTCCTCCCCCTCCCCCCTTGTCATTTCTCTCTGCTCCGGGAGCAAAGGGAGGCATAGGGTGTCTGCTTCATTAAAAGCTACAGTAAACCCCAAGCCTCATCTCACTTCATTAGTTCTACCCCTTTTTCCAGTTTTGCACACAAGTCTCTGATGGGTGAGTCAGAGGCCCTCCTCGGCCTTTCCAGATGGGGCTCATCTGCTGTGATGAGAAGACCCCAGTCCAAACCCAGGAGGCGGGAGAAGGAAGGGAAGAGCCTGCAGATCCAACACAGCATGGGCCAGCCCTGGGGCAGGGAGCCTGCTGCTCTCTTCCAACTCCCCGGTAGCGGCGGGTGAGCCCCGGTGGGTGAGCCCCGGTGTCTGCTCCCCCTGAGGGCCTCAGGGTGCTGCTCTGATGACCTCTAACGACCCTTGCCCTCCTCATGGGTGGCCCTTGGTGCTGGAATGAGGGCACCAATCAGGCCACAGGGGCTGACCCCACGCCTGTCCACCAGGTGGGCCTTTTCCCTCGGCACTTCAGCCACATTTTGGGTTTGGGCACAGCCAGCCCTTCCGGACGCCTCTCTGGGCTCCAGTTCTGCCCCCTTCACCCACCAGGATGTCACCTCACAGACAGGTGTGAGTGGTGGGCTTCTGGCTGAGACATCCTGGGGACAAGAGCTCCTGTGAGCGGGCTGGCCACTGGCAAAGCCCTGAGCTTCTCCACTTCCACCTTCAGGAAGGCCAGCCCCTGGCCAAGGACCGAGGCACGCTCCTGTGGCGGAACCCGGGGATGACGAGAGACGACTGTCCTCCAGGAGGCTGGCCAGGTGTGCAGACAGAGCCTCTAGAAACCATCACGCCCAGGAGCCAGACGCAGGGTCACGGGGTGCATTCGTGCCAGCAAACCACCCTGGAAGGTCTAGGCCAGCGCAGGCTGGACCCGCTGCATCCACACAGCCCTCCGCCCCTCCTCCCCCGCCCTTCGCTGGCGGCGAGGACCAGGATGCTGATCTGGGCGACGAGAAGCAGCAGCGTCTGCCCAGTCCACGCACACAGCACCATGGAGCCTCTGCTCCTCTGACCAGCCCTCTGTTTCGTGTCCACAGTGATTCTTCCTACTTTGCATTTATCTTAAGAAGTAATTGTTGGGCCCTTGCCAGACCCAATTACTTATTCATTTACTTTAAATTACTGGGTAACTCCTACTCATCCTTCAGGCTGCAAGGCCTCTCCTCTGGGAGGTCCCCGGTCTCCTCCTGCTCCGGGGTGTCCTCTGTGGTCCCTGCTGCTGGCCTCGCCCTCCCACCCAGCTGCCAGCGAGACCAGCACCTCCTCTCCTGGAGCCCGGCCTGGCCCGGAGCCCGCTGGGGTGGGGGGAGCAAGCAGTGCACAGGTTGGCGCCAAGCAAAGGGGTGAATAGACAAGTGTGCGCTGACTCTCATCGCCTGGAGCAGGTCACCTCCAACCCCAGGCCTCGGGCTGCCTGACAAGGTGCCCACCTCTGGGAGAAGAGGTCCCGGTAGGGGCTGCCGTGCTGCAGGGCGATGCCGTAGCCCTTGCTGCTGACGCTGTTGCTGACCACGGTCACCGCGCAGTCGTCGTCGGTCAGGGCCGCGTACTCCACCACCGCCAGGTCCCACAGGAAGGCGTAGTTCCCCTTCTTTGCCTGAAAGAGAAGACCGCGCAGTCAGCCAGGCCAGCCTGCTATACTCCCCTCAGGCAGCGAGGCTCCTCGATGGTGGGACTTGAGGGGCCTCCGAGATCGCCCGCCTGCCAGCCAGCACCGCGCACTCTCCTGGTGCTCTGGCTGCAGGTCCGCCACGCCACGCCACGCCGACGCCAGGGCTGGCTGGGGTAGGACAGATGGGGTGATGCCGCCTCTGCAGGCTCCGTGCCCACACCTCAGGGCACGGACCTACCCTCGGCACAGGCTTGCCCTGGCCCCAGGGAACTGAGATTTTTCCCACCAGAGATCTAGGGGGAGCATAGAAGCTTCCATTTACCATTTCTCCATGGAACCCGGCTGAACCCTGCTGGGTGGACAGGGGAGATGCCCCAGGCTCAGCGCTCCCAAGGGGCTGTGACTCACCACCTAAGCCAGGCACTTGCGGTGGGTGAAGCATAGTAACCTCCATCTTGCATAAAACTGCTGTTTGAAATTCTCTGCTACTGTGAGATAGTCCCTTGCTCTGTAAACTCTGTCATTTTTGGTAGGTCTCATATTCTATAAAATAACTGTTTTAGTTTGAATAATAGAAAAAGATAAAAACTTAACTGTCTGACCTTGCAAGCTAGCCATCTAACGTAATGGACTGATATTGATAATAATTTCCGTATTCTTATGCCAAATGTTTGTTCTTTATGTGTCCAAGATTACAAACTGTCTGTAACAATCACTCACACAGAGCCCTTTGTAAAACCTGCAGACAAAGAAGCTCGAAAGGTATAAATACAAAACACTTCCTCTGTGTCTTCACTCAGAGATTTGGAAGAAATACCTCCCTCTGGGCTGCACGAAATGAACGACTCCTAATTAATTGGCTCATTAAGGTGTCCGGTATCTCACTCGCTGATTTACGACACAACATGGGGAGGGACCATGAAGGACGGGCTCCTGCTGTTAGGGTGTCTGCCTGGGTTTCTGCCACTGGCCTTTCACTGCCCACACAAGAGAACCCACGTCCACACACATGCACCGCTATCCGCCTTCCTTGGCAGGCGCTCCCCGGAGCCAGAGCTCTGCCTGTGCCGGAGGCCGGCACACGGGAAGAAGTGTGAGCTGCTTTGCATTTTGGAAGGAGAGGCAAAGTCGACACTGTCCCTTGGCCGGCTTTGAAAATAGAGCAGGATGTTCTCAATGCAGCCAAGTCTGGTTTATTCCTATGGAGAGCATGTGCTCTTTGCCCTCTCCCCGCGCCTCCCGCAGCTCCCACGGGAGCTGGGAGACGCAGGCCGTGCTGGTGGGGAGGCCGATACACCGCAGACAGGAAGGCCGGGTGGCAAGCAGCAGCTTCATGACGTTGTCAGCGTGTCCTTGTCTCCCTCCTTGAGTCTTTGTCCACTGAGACTCTCCGAAGGGAACCACCGCTGCCTCCATGAAGCTGGTCGAGACTGGACTCCTTTTGGGGCCCAGAGTGCCTGGGCCAGCATGGCTCATTTTCTCACCAGCAGCTTCCCATCAGGGGGGTGTGGACAGCATGTGGCACTCCCGGAACAGGCTGTGCCCAGCGCGCACGATGCTGCCCAACGGTCCTCTAAGAAATGACACGCCCGTGCCACCCAGAGCTTCACCTCGGGAAGCAATTCCAGGACGTCAGACCCTCACTCCCGGCCACGCCGATTCCAGAAGTCCCTAAAGCACTTTGCAAAGTCACCTCATCTCTCCCCTCCCCGTGGGAGGTAGCAGTCTGTGAAATTCTTTCCTGCTGGCAAACGCGTTTTCTCAAGGAAAGATACATTGTCCGCCTCTTTGCAATGAAGTTTTTCAGCAAAATGTTGACTTATGACCTGATATCTGGCTTTAGCCTGACGGAGGCATTTTTCATCCACACGTGCAATTCACCATGACAATCGGACACTGTTATTTGTGTGATTTCAAAAGGGCATGTCTTGCTGAAGGAAGAATTAAGATTATGTTTCCGTCTACCTTTCAGGTGATTCCACAAAGGAAAAGGAAAGGCGCTGGGCCAGCGGGTGGACACACGCGGACAGCAGCGGCCCGGCCCTGCGGATGGCACCCCCTCTCCTCCAGGCCAGGCAGGGCGGCTCCGGTTTGGGCTACGTGACAGGTGAGCACAGTCGCCCGAAGGGAGTTGCATTTACAGTCCTGCTGGCTCAGCCATGTCCTGGCTGCAAGCCCCTGCCTCCAGCAGATGGCTGGAAGGGGAGGTGGGAGTCTTCCTCTCTGGCTGCTGTGGGGCTCAGACCTCAGCCTTCTCACTTGTAAGCAGGGACTCAGTTTCCAAGGGCCGTGGTCAGCAAGCCGCGGCTCGCGAGCCACACAAGGCTCTTTGGCCCCTTGAGTGTGGCTCTTCCACAAAATACCACATGTGGGCACGATTGAAACTTCGTGGCCCATGCACAGAAGTTGGTATTTTGTGGAAGAGCCACACTCAAGGTGCCAAAGAGCCGCGTGTGGCTCGTGAGCCGCGGTTTGCCGAGCCGCAGTTTGCCGACCACTGTCCTAGGGCATCTCTTACGTCTGCTTCCAGAGGCACAGGCTGACCCAGAGCAGGGACCCGAGGGACCCGAGGGGCCGCTGGGCCGCAGCCTGCACGTGGGCCGAGTCAGGGGCCCTGACTCCCATGAAACACTGGCCCTCGGGCTTCCTGGCTCCTCTCTCAGCTCCTTGCGGAGGACAATGCAGCACCAGGACCTCCCGGGTGTCTCAAGTTCACGGGTTTCAATGACAACCTTCTGGAAGCCATGAAGGCCACCTGGGCATTCTGCAAAGCTCCCACTCTCCCCGCTGGGCCACAGACCTGCATGTGCCAGAGGCTCCTTAGCCCCGACTGTTCTTGGACATCCCAGACTCTGAGAAGCCCGCACAGCCCGCCCATCATGACTGTGCCCCACCAGGGACCCCCTTCTTGCCCCATGCAGAATGAGCAGGACACCCCAACTTCCAAGATGCAGCTCCTCCTTGTCGGATCAGAACCAGTTCCTCACATGCCCCTGGTAATCATGTGCCCACCTTCTTACTCGATGCTGCTACCCACTAGCTCTGGCTTCTCCATGTGGAGGGACAGCAAATGGAGCGTCTGCCTCCAAGGAACTGAGCCCTTCCTCCGGCTCTGCCCTACCAGCTCCTCCTCCTCCTTTCTTGAGTCGGAGCATTTACCCCACTTTGCTCAGAGGTCCAGCTTCCTCCCTGTGGGCCCAGCCCATCCACCCTCTCCTCCTCTGGGAAGGTGTTCCTGCCCTCCCCCGCCTCCCCCAGCTCCACATTGGAGGCCTGTCCACTTTGAGACGGTTTCCTGTCTTACTTTAGTAACTGCTCCTTTTTGCTGCGGGTTTTCCCGTCTCTTGGGAAGACAAACTTTACTCCCTTCTCAATTGTGCTCCATCAGCTGTTCCTCCAGAGCGAGAAGGGTGAATCCAGCCCCCACCCAGGAGCTGGGCACCTGGGCCATGCAACACAACAGACCATTAGAGTTGGCTATTTGGCCACTTCCTGTTCATTCCAGCTCATTCTTCCTTGGGCCTCTCAGTCCCGTTCCTCCCCTGCTTCCCAGGTGGCTGGGGGAATGAATGGGGAGTGCTGACTATTCACAAATAGATCGTTGATGTAGATTTCCTAATGCCTAAAGGACAAAGTGACCCCATAGATTTGTGTTCTGCATTAAAACAAAAAAAAAATACTGTATTTCACCTCCTTAGTGGGTTAGATGGCCTTTACCAGGCTTGCTCATTTACAATATTCAATGTATTCCTCATTTCTAATTAGGGACTCAGCACACGTCTGTGTGTGCCTCAGTATGTTGTAGTGCAGCTGGTGGAAAGTAAGGCTGGATCAAGGCCTGGGAACCAGCCAGCCCTTCCACACCTGCGGCTCTACACAACCCAGGTGGCCTTCACCCCTCATACCTGGGGCTCTACACAAGTCCAGGTGGCCTTCACCCCTCACACCTGGGGCTCTACACAAGTCCAGGTGACCTTCACCCCTCATACCTGGAGCTCTACACAAACCCAGGTGACCTTCACACATGGGGCTCTACACAAGCCCAGGTGACCTTCACCCCTTACACCTGGGGCTCTACACAAAGCCCAGGTGGCCTTCACCCCAACCCCCTACCTGGGGCTCTACACAAGCTCAGGAGGGCAAAGAAATCAGGAGTGCTCCAGGCCAGCTCTGGGTCCTGGGAGTGGAGCCCCGGTTCCTCCAGGAGCTATGAAAAGCATTTGCAGGTCCATTTGCAGTGGAGGTCTGAAAGGTAACATAGCCTAGAAATGCAATTTGCTGCCTCCACACGTGTTTTTAACATTGATAGTGCCCAGGGTTAGTGAGGATTTGATAATGTGGGTGAGGTCCTCCATGGCACTGGGCATCACAGGTGGCACGATCTGTCGGCAGGTGAGGTGGCAAACACAGCGTGACTATCTGAGCTGCTCACCATCTCTACCCCGGCAACTGCACCTTTAACCGGAAACGTAAGGCACGGGCATCTCTGTATCTTAAAGACAGAACAATTGTTCTAAATCCAATGTTGCCTATAAGTAAGCATGGGAACAGTTTCAACATTTAATTTAGGGAAATAATCTAATAAATTATGGTTCACAAGTTACATGGGGATTTGTGCAACAGATAGTAATTATAAAGACCACTCAGAAACACAGAAACGCCTATAAATGAAAGGGGTCCTGGATTGTGGAGGGTGCAGACCAGGCTGAGGGTCACCCCCCTCCCCCAGTGCATAAATTTCATGCACTGGGCCTCTAATAATAATATGAAGCTTAGAAGGACATGTGATTCATCATAAAAAAGCATTCTATCTTGGGGGATACTAGTACATCCCCCAACCACAAGGGCCTCACTCAGTCCATTCCTCAGCCTGAATTCTCACACCCCACAATTTAGGCAATGTTCTCTATACACGTGAAATGTGATGTGCCCCCAGGTGGACAGAAGCCCAGCTGGCATGGCTCAGTGGTTGAGCATCGACCTAT